TCTATTTTGTTCTGTGTGCTTCATTTGAGATGTTTTCTTCCAAATCGGACTATCCCCTGGTGCCTTATCATATTTCAGAGTGAGACAATAAAACACAAAGCTTTGGAAATCACTTGTCACGGGGTCACATTGCATGTCATGGGGTCGTGTTAGAGAACTGTCACAACAGGGCTCACCGAGTTCCCTCTGAGGACACTCTGGCACTCCCAGGAAGGTGTGAGTTCATAAGGCTGCCCGTGTGCTAGAGCCAATCTGAGCACAGGGAACTAGAAATTTCACTGTTCGGAAGCAAAATGCCTTTTAATTTCCCTGTTACCAAATCCACTTCCTGCCTTGCCTTTCTCAGTGGTCAGTGTCCTTAAATGCAGGAAGACTCTGATGTCTCTCACAGGGACTAGTGCATGTGGGGTAGGATGGTCCCAGGTAAGACAGAGCCTCAAGGGTCTAACCAGTCCTCAAATAAGAACGCTCCCCACCTCACCCGACCCCTGTCACTCTGCCCTGTTTCTTCCTGTCCTTCCCTGAGACTGTGGCATGAGTCAGCTTGCTTCTATCTATGTCTCCTTCTATGCCACTTAGCTTTGACCTTTCTCCATTCTGCTAAGTCACACGGCATTCTCCCGTCCACTTTCCATCTTTGTGTTTTGCGGTTTCAGGTTTATCAAAGACAGAACTTGTATTTATGTTTCTTAATCTTCCCTGTTTCAGAAAGAAGACTGAGTGCAGGATGGAGAAAGGAAAGCATAGCTGTTCCTTTCGTCTGACATCCTGAAATCAGGAAAGGGCATGCCTTCCCTTTTCCCTAAGGACTTTCCTATGCTGTCTACGCTGCTGCCACCCACCACTGCCATTCATCAGCTCTGCTCTCTGGAATCCATATGTCAATAGGCATCATTTTACTAGCTTCCACCCAGAAACCTTTAGTTTATTGATGAACTAGTAACTTCCACATCTACATGCAGTGAGCGAAGCTAAATGGCAGAGTCAATGTAAAAAACTGGGAAAGCTTCAGTCACCAATCCTGTGGGACCTAATATCCTTTCAAAACGCACCTGTTATCCCTGTCTCTGTCCTCAGCCCCTGCAGTCCCACAGTAAACTCTGCCCCTCGAGATGGGCCTCTGCAGACAGCCCCCCATTCATATGCATTTATGTCATTTCCATCCATGTTACCCTATTATTCTCTTGTTGCTAGACTTCAACAATGCTGCCCCAAAGCTGCTCCTCACCGTGCATGGCTTCTGACTTCACCAAGGCATTCTACCCAGAGCATTCCCCAGACCTGTAACCTCTACGAATAGCTCCTTTATTAAACTCACATCAGTCCTGTTCTGGGCACCATCTGTTTCTTACCAGGGTACTAACTGAGACACAAATAAAATGGAAGACCATGAACTATCTCGTATCTACAGCCCACTGAATTCTTGTGCTTCTGAGGTTGTAAGAGCCACATGCATAGTTGGTACTTAAAGACTCCAAGAAATTATGTTTTTCCTTTGATTCAAGATTGTCTCACTGTAGCAAGCGAACAAAACAACAACCAAATCTCTCTTTATTGTTAAGCTTTCCTAAAAAATATAAAGACAAATATGGCCAGGACAGCTTAGACTGTCAGGCAGAGTCGGGCACACATGTTGTTCCCTCTATGCTAAAAGCACTGGACTCAGATAGTATTGTTAAAAATATATACATCCACTACTTTTTAATTGGGGAAATAAAGACAGCCAAATTTAATTCTCAAAGCTCAAGTATTTCTTTTTCTTTCATCTTTCTTTGCTTTTCCCTTAGGCAATTATATCAAGGGTCAGAAAAATACAGAAAAAGAATAAGCTTCACCAATCCTCCCATTAAAAAAAAAGTGATGTTCTTGACTTCAGCCCTCCCTCTGGAGAGTAGAGCCTTCCTTCTCTGTATGCACTGACAGATTTTTAGATACAATGAACTTTCCCTTCCCCTACCCCATAGAACCTGCAACCTGGTCTATGACATGGAGACTCCTTGGGCCGCACCTCCTTGGCCTCTTGGCAGTCTCCCTTGTCCTGCTGTCCGTCCTCTCACACTGCTCTTCGGTCCCCTCAGCAGACTGCCACAGTGCACATGCCTCACTCACTCCTGCTCCCAGCACCGAGTCTTAGTCCTCTCCACCTTTCTGCCTCCAATGCCTGTCTTCCCCCACTCCAGAGACTTCAAAGTCAGGAAAAGGTGGACACTCCTCCAGGCCAGTATGCCAGCAGGAGGACTGGGAGTCTGGGAACAGCCTAAGACACCCTGCCTCAGAAACTAGAGCTAATTGTATAATTGATGATCCTCAAAAGAACCTGACCGCCAGAGGCATTGCTTCTCAACTCAGAAGTTCTATGTACCTAGGTTCCTCAGGCCACAGTGCCATCTAGATCCCTACTCCAAGGCACCACACAGAGCCAGGAACTTGAAAACAAAATCTTTGACTCTTTGTTGTCCTCTATCCTCACACCCAATCAATGCCCACAGCCTACTGGTTCTGTCCAAGATGGACCTTAGGCTGAATATCCAATTCCTCCCATTCTCATCGCTACGCCTGCACACTAAGCCACCTCTTTAGAGCTAATAGAGCTAACACTTTAGATAGTGTTACTTTCAGCTTTATAATACAGCCATTGTGATCTTTCTAAGGTGCAGACATAATCATGTTACTCTCTTCCTAAAATCAAACCCAGAAGTGGTTTCCCTGCTACTATCTAGATGAAGCTCAAATTCCTCAACATCTCAGTATCTGGTTTCCAGTATGATCCATTCACTATGGGTTCCAGTCAAAATGAGCATCTTTTAGTTTCTCCAACAACCCATGATTATTTTCCTCCCACTGTGCTCCTTTCATCTGCTAAAACAGTTATCTGATATAGTCCCATCATCATATTCCCTGTCTTCCTTTCTTCAAAAAATACATAGTAGTAGAGGTTGGATGGTGGTGGCACACAACTTTAACCCCAGCACTTGAGAAGTGGAACCAGGTGGACCTCTGTGAGTCCGAGGCCAGCCTGATCTACATAGTGAGCTCCAGGACAGCCAGGGCTATGTAGAGAGACCCTGTCTCAAAACAAAACACAGTAGCATTTACTTCACCCATTGATCTACAGTCTAGGAAGTCCAAAATTAAGGGGCTCCATCTTGTGAAGGTACTGTTAGTGTTTCTTAGCTAACATGGGTAAGTCTTTAAGTCCTTGGTGTCTCGGCTTAGATATGCTCTCTGAATCTAGGTTAGACCTGCCCCTCTAGCACACTTCTTAACCACATCACATCCTCTTATAGTTGCTCTTTATCTGTGTCTATTAAAATCATCCTTAGCATAGTGAAGTAAGCATCTATTTAATTCATCCATACTACAGTACTTCCCAGCACCAAGTTGTCACTTAACAATAATGGTTAAATGTTGTGGTTTAGATATGAAATGTCCCCCCAAAGACTTGTGTGTTGAGGGCTTTGGTCCTCAGCGGGTGGTACTTTAGAGAAGTGACTGGATCATGAGGGTACTGACCAGATCAACAGACTAATGTATTAATTAGATTGATTAGTTCATGGCTGAATGAGCTATTAGGTGCTGGTGCCTGGTAGAGAAAGTGAGTCACTGGGAGCATAAAATTGAAGGCTGTATCTTATCACCAATCTCTCTCCCTCTCTCCCTCCCTCCTCCCTCCTTGTCTACCATGAACAGCTTTACTTTACCCTGCTCTTGTGCCCCATATTCTGCCATACACAGATGGACAACAATACAGCCAGCGAACTGTGAACTGAAATCACAGAAACTGCACTCAATGAGTCTTTTCCCCCTTAAGCTGTTCATCTTGGGTATTTTGTTACAACAATGAGCAGACTAAAATAAATGACTACTAACTAACTGTTAGATTAAAAGTTGTGCCAGAGGAGGCATAGTTCACATACAAATTTTTCTTTCTCTTCTCAAATAATACTGCAGTAAGCAAGCAAGCTAACTCTCCTGTGAAACAAGCCTGCTTATAACAAGGGAAGTCTAAATCTTTGTTTTCTTCTTCATTTCTCCCTTTCCCATATATAAAATTTTCACTATAAAAATGTAAACACACTTTTTACAAACTAAGAATACAGCTAGCTTTCTCTTGATCTGCCTAATGCCTAGTCTGTTCCCAAACCACCTGTGAACTTCAATTAACATGCACAGGTTTAAAACAGTGGTTCTCAACCTGTGGGTGATCATCGGATATCTTGCATATTTGATATTTACATTACAGTTCATAGCAGTACCAAAATTACAGTTATGAAGTACCAACAAAAATAGTGTTATGGTTGGGGGTCAGCACAACATGAGGAACTGCATGAGGCCACAGCATTAGGAAAGCGGAGAACCACTGCTTTAAAAGAACCTGCAATAACCTTTCACTTGAAGCACCTTTCACTTGAAGCACAACACCCAAGTACTAATTAAATCTTAGCACACCTGCTCTGAAGTGCAAAACCAGAGATTTATGCAAACTTGTAAAGGCGTTCTGACCTCAGGTAGGGTTCAAGTTTCCTTAAGGTACACTTCCTCTTTGAAGGAATATTTTTGGAATTTATTTCAGTGACTAACCTACTGATATTAGGCATGCATTTGGTTCCTTTCTTATCTATTCCATATGCTTTCTGCCCACTACCTGTCAATACTTAAGGTTTTAGGTGAAGAAAAAAAAAAAAATCCTGGCCCACTCACAAGGCCTAAAATGTCTTGCTCTGAATGCATCGTGTCAATAAGGAGACTTTTTTAAAACGACACCCTTCTATTCAAGCTCCATATATAATCCAAGAGCAGCTCACTACAGTCATACAGTCCTGTTAACTGGCTGTCTGGAGACGATTAGCAGCCCTACAGTGACCAACCATGGACAGAACATGATAGATTACAACACTTAAGACAGGTTTTCAACATCAAGGAAGACATCCTTTCTGACTTTGCAATGCAGACGCTCGCTGTCTTGGAGGTTTGGGGAGGTCAATGTCACAGGCACGTACCTTGGATAGGCTCATTCCCAGCACAGCGAGAGTCGCTAAGCCAGCACAGCAGACCAGGGCACTGGAGCTGGAGAGGCCCGAGCCTGGGGGTATATTTCCATCTACCAGGCAGTTCATTCCAGTCGACTTACTAAGACCAAAGTGTTCCTAAGAAAGAGCGAGCAACACAGCAAGTCACTTCAGTGCTGGATTCAAGAGGCAGTAGAAACTTCTATCATTCCACAGAGGGAAGGAGGTCCACCAACAGACACAAAGCCGTTGCAGGAACTGGTATAATTCAACACAGTAGGAGCTACCCATGCCGTCTGATTGAATGACACTTGCCCAGAGGATGAGGCAAGCTGAAGATGACTTTTCGTTTTGTTCAATGAAAAGTTAGTGATTCGCTTCCTAAATTGCCTTGAATGATTTTTCCTTGAATATCACCTGATGTGAACAAGTACAGAAAAACTATAAAGCAATCAGAATTCAGGTTGCCCAGCAAGGCAAGAACTCCCCAATTACCACTGAGTAGGTTGAGCTTTAGCCTGACAGCATCTGGTATGAAGTCTAACCCAAAAGCAGCTGTTTCCTGGTGTTTGGCCTCAAGAGGCCCTCTGAAGAAAAGGAGCTCCAACTCCATCAACTTTACTTTTCATGGAGAAAAATATAAGTACTGGGAGGTTAAGGGACCTTCCCGGAGATCACACAAGGGACACTGGGAGACTCAAGACTGAGACTTTCCCAAAGTCTCGCAAAGGATGCTGGGAGTGAGACTCAGGACTGAATCCCAGTTGAGGACTTCGCCGCTGTGGAAGCTGGGGCCAGCAGTGTCTCTACCTCTAAATGTCTGTCAGTTATATGAGAAGATTCAGAGTTTGGGGGGAGTTATAGATAGAATTTAGCCATCTGGTAGCTTTCAAGACAGCCAGATTAGAATGTAGGTGTAAACGATATTGAAGGCCCCAAAGGAGGCAGGGAGATTTTCTACTAACAGGAAAGCCCAATTAATCCAGACTCTGGATTAAAGGTAGAAATCTCTAATGTACTTAACTGATGTGTGAAACCAGATTGGGGTGATATCATAATCTTCGTTTAGGATTAAAAATAAACCCAGCACTCCCTCCTCTTCAACAAGAACATGGACTTGTTCAGAAACTTCTCAAATAATTCAAGACCAAAGTATGAGAAACTATTACATTACCTAATTATGCATTTCATCATACATATTCTTCTAGGGAGAAATTTCAATAAGCAAGTTAGACCAGCCAAAGGAACTACAAAACGCTGCAAATAAAGACTGGTTTTGTCCTTAATTTTTTGTCCTTTTTTCTTCCTTGGCAAAAGTCATGCGCCACAAAAGACAAGAGTCAGATGTGCTTCCTGACTCCAAGTCATCTAAAACACTCCTTCCAGAAACACAAACAAATTATACACTGAAGACGACGTGCTGCTGCCAACGCCCCTCCACACAGAACATCAGGCAGCCCACTCCAAAGCAGCAGTCCTCGGGGAACGCTATACATTTCACCATAAACGATCCACAGAGTGTCTTGAGTGTGAGTCATACTTACAAACTTAGCACGCAATGTTTAAGTTCAAAAGTCACAGCAGACTGAAAAACACACATGGGTTGTGCCAAGTACTGTAATAGCTCTATCCCAAAAGGATAACATGTTCAATTTCACATAAACAGATTATCCCTTGGATCTTTCTAGTATTTTAATTTGAAGGTTTCTGGACTGGCTAACACTGAAATGACTTTTCTGCCAAAAGTTCATTGTACAAACCTGTGTTTTTGCACATAAGTTGTCAAACCAAAGAGGAAGGCTTTAAGCCCTTAAAAGGATCCAAAACAATGCAAGAAAACATAGATAGATAGATAGATAGATAGATAGATAGATAGATAGATAGATAGACAGACAGACATAACTTTACCATATGGTGCAAAAAGGCGTGTTGTTTCAAGGAAGGTCAAATTGCATTTGCCTGACCAATGCTTCCAAATACTCTAATTCCCACTAATGTGGATGACAATCCAGATGATTTGAAGATTTAAAACAGGCCAATAACTTTTCCCAGAAGTTATTACCATGTGTCTGGAAAAAAGACATTCTCAAGAAATGAATGCTGTACTCCTAGGCCAGACCTCCAAGGTAGAAGCACAGGACTACACATCCCAAGTTACTCTGATGGGCTTCTACAACAACCATATCAATGAGTCCTAAGCGTCTCATAACACTTTCAGATAGGACCTCCAGACCACTTGGATCACAAACTTACATAAATAAATAAATAAAACACAAAAGCATGTTTACTTGTTTTCTCTCGATTCACAAAGAGAAAAGGTCTATTTCTTAATATCCTTTATCTATGATGTTACCAGAGTCACTACAGCTAAAATAAGTATTGAGTAGATGTTAATTTTAAAAATAAAAGAGTTGGAGAGTTGACTCAGTAACTAAGAGCATTTATTGCTCTTACAGAGGAAGACCTGGGTTCAATTCTAAGCACCACATGGTGGCTTACAACAATCTGTAACTCCAGTCCCAGGGAATCTGATACCCTCTTTGGTTTCTGTGGGCACCAGGCATGCATGTGGTGCAGAAACATGCATGCAGGTGAAGCACCCACACACATAAAATAAAAAGATGGATCTTTTTTTAATTGTTAAAAAATAAAATTAACACACAAAAAAACATAAGAGTGGTTCTGAAAACAGCAAGTTTGGGTTTTCCATTTGTGCTTCATACATTCTTAATTATGAGAAAAAGTGGAAACAGTCCATTGTCCTGTTCTTGCACACAACACTGGGATTTTAAATTGAGATTAAGTCGATGTTTCTAGGAAAGTGCTTACATAATGCCTTTCACTATATCCCTTTTAGTCTCACCTGCACAAGCAGGAACAAGGCTAGCTGCCATTCTCAAATGCCAAAGGGTTCCAGCACCATGACATCCTTGCAACAGCTCTTCGTTGAATAGCAGTGACATCATTTTACAGATAAAGCCAAGACTTAACTCAAATTAACAAAGCTGGATCAGGCCCACATTCAAATCCATGGCTGTTCTTTCCAGTACACTCCTGTATATCCCAAGAACAGAATGTAACTACTAGGACAATCTCTCTTCGTGGCATGTTACTGATGCATAACCAGTCAAATGAAACATCATGATTTCCCCCAGCACACGCAACCCAGAAAGAATCATGCCTTCCCCACTCTCAGAAACAGAAGTCAGCAAAATACAAGAAGAGCATCAGTACTGAAAGGAGACCAAAAACATAATAGAGTAAATCAGGAATAACATGAATATCACCTAGTAGGCTAGTAGGTGTCAATTTACCTGGATTCCTTTAAATCCACAAAGGAAGTAGTTGTGCCATAGAGGTTTGGTTTTGTCGATATGGATGTTATTAGCACTAGTACTGAAGTCTCTGGAAAAAAAAAAAAGACCCATTAATTTGTTTGTAGTCCTTGAGAGACAAAAATCAGCGGCTGACTGCTGCCCTCTTGTGACAAAACAATGATACTGAGTATTCTTTTCTGTTTACTTTCAATGTATCTCAGCCTCCTGCAAACAGGGACACCTCCAGCTGCTAAGGCTGAGAGAGGATGTTGTATTGGCCTTAATGACTAATCTACCTCTAACTGGCCCTTTTTATTTCCCAAATCAGATAGGAAACAGCATGCTCAACATAATCTACATCCATTTTTCTCTTTCATGTCAGTCCTCATTCGCTAGTGTAAAAAAACACATAAGCGCTTTATCCTCTGGGCCTGCTACTCAGCAGATGCCCAGTAGAAACAGAAGTACTCAAAGCTTTCTTTACCCTGCATTCTCTGATACCTATCCAATTTGACTATCTGTATGATTTAAGAAAAAGAAATAACGAACAAAATTTATTTTACAGGGTCATGACCCATTGGGGAAAAAAATAAGACCTCCTGATTTTACACTGATATAAATTTACAATTAAATAAACAGCTAAATGAAAAAGAGGGGAGACTAGTTTTCACAACAAAATGCCAGGCCCAGCGAGATGGCTCAGTGGGTAAGGTGGTTGTCATGTAACCCTAACAACTGGATCCCTAGAACCCACATAAAGAAAGACAGAATTGATTCTACAAAGTTGTTCCCTGACTTCCACACATGTGCTATAGAATGCATGCCATATATGCACATCACACACACACACACACACACACACACACACACACACACACACACACACACAATGAACAAGGTATAATGTCAATTAACCAATATAAAAGAAATAATGGAATTTTAAAAATACTGCATGTGAATTCCATTGATAATGGTTTCATCAATGGATGTTTAGAGAGTGAGGATTTAATTTAAAAAGGTATTTACATAGACTCAAAGTATTACCTCATTATCACTACCAGATACGTATTAACTAGAAGAAGAAACAGTAACTCTGTGTTAGAGAGTTAGTTACTGGTTCAGCTCAGCAGTGGTCTGCTTCACTGAATTGCTCAGAAAAGCCTAGCTCTCTGTTCCTCAGTTCCCCCTACCTACCTACACATGCCTTCCCTAACACTTTGAGCTTCCTTCTTTCTTCATTTTCTATTTTCTGGAGTAGTTCAAAAAGCATTCATATTGGCTCTTCTTTAAAGGTCTGGTAGAGTTCAGCAGTGAAAATTGGTAGGCCTGAACTATTTATAATATTTTTACTAATTCCTTGAGAATTTTGTACAAGATATTTTGATTATAGTCACCTGTAGCATGAATCTTAGAGAGTCTTATTAATAAAATCAAACCCGAGGCCAATTATTGGGGTCAATGCTGGTAGATCAGAGAGACAGAACAAGCCACAGCTGTCTCACCTTGCCAATTCCTCAACTGGTCCTGTTTCCTCAGACTGGAAGCCTCTGAGTCCTCATCCAGAATGAATCTCAGTTGAACTGTGTTTCTCCAAAGCCTGAAAGCTTAACCAGCCAAATGCTTAACCAGGCCAAATGCTGCTAGCCAAATGCTTCTAGTTCCTGGTCTTCACGCCTTATATACCTTTCTGCTTTCTACCACCATTCCCTGGGATTAAAGGCTCACTCCCTGGGATTAAAGGCGTGTGTCACCATGCCTTGCTCTTTCTAATGTGGCCTTGAACTCACAGAGATTCAGAGGGATTTCTGTCTCTGGAATGCTAGGATTAAAGGTGTGAGTGCCACCGTTTTCTAGCCTCTGTATCTAGTGGCTGTCTGTTCTCTGACCCCAGATAAATTTATTAGGGTACACAATATTTTGGGGAACACAATACCACCACAGTCACCTCCCCATCTATCTCCATAACTCCTCCCAGATCCACCCCACCTCCTCAATCCCAGCCATTTTATGTCCTCTGTTGTCTTTTTAATAACCCATCGAGTCCAGTGTGTGCTTCCCATTTATCCATTAGTGTGGGATCATCCATGGAGCACAGTCAACCTACCAAGGGCCATATCTAAAGAAAACTTGCTTTCCCTCCCCCGGAAACCATCACCACAGTTCCTCAGCTAGGGGGAGGGGCTCTCAGTCTCCTCTCCAGTCCACGCTAGAGTGTTGGCTGACTTCACCTTCCGCAAGCGTGGCTGCTGTGTGCTCCTGACTGCAGCAGTCCCGTCACATCTAGAAGACAGTTTCCCTCCAGTTCTCCCCAACATCTAGCTCTTAGGATCTTTCTGATCTCTCTTCTGCAATGGTTCCTGAACCGTGGGTAGGGGCAGTGGCGACATAATGTCCCATTTGTAACTAAGCATTCTGCCAGCACTTATTCTCTGCACTTGGATCAGCTGTGGGTGTCTACATTACCTACCGTCTACTGTGGTCACCCCATAACATTTATGCCTCTCTTCCATCCATGGGCGTATCTTTCCACACCAGCAGATCACAGGGCTCACGCCTGGGGAAGACTGTTGATGACTACTGTTCCCTAGCAGTCTACATAGAATCTCCTACTACTAGCAAAGTTAACCAACTGGAAGGTAGTTTACTGGTTAGAATCAATGTTATTTCTTCACGTCTTATGATCAAAGTGTGTAGAGTCTTCAGCAATAGGTCTTACCAAAGCCTGGACTTCTATTAAATTGAAAATGTTTTTGTTTAGTTGAGGTTTTTCTGGGGTTTGTTGTTGTTTTGCTTCTAGTTGCTGCTTGAACTTCATTGCTTGTTTACCAATCTCTACAAGCTGGCTCTCACCTCAGTTTAATTTGGGTAGATATATGCATCTAGAAATTCATTTCTTTCAGATTTTCTAATATCATAGTCTAAAAAGCTGAATTTACTGAATTTCATAGGTATCTACTGCAATGTCTTTCTTTTCATCTCTTTATTAATTTGGGTCTTTGCTCTCTTTCTTTTGGCTAGTTTGGCTAACAGTTTATTGCTTTTGTGCATCTTTTCAAAGAACTCTTTGTTTCATTAATTCATTGTCTTTTTGAATTTCCACTTCATTACTTTCTGCCTCGATAATTATTGCTGTCCGTCTACTGATGTTTGATTTGGCTTGTTTGTGTTCTTCCAAGGCCCTGGGATGAATTCAGTTAGTTATTTGAGATCTGACTCGTTTCTATTTTATTTATTTCCCCCCTCGTGTGTGTGTGTGTGTGTGTGTGTGTGTGTGTGTGTGTGTGTGTGTATGTGTGTGTCCACATACCACGGCATGTGTGTGGAATCAGAAGACAGCTAGAGGGAGTCAGTTATCACCCTCCATGGGAGATTGGCCTCAGGCTGTCAGGATGGATAGTACTTTGTTTTTCCCACTAAACTATCTCACTGGCCCTTCTCTGATCTTAATATATGCGCTTATAGCATTAAACTTCCCTTTCAGGACTGCTCTCATGTATCTCCTAGCCACATTAATTAAAGTCTGAGTATACTATGCTAGTTTGGCATTGTATGGTAGTAATATCAAACACCTGCGGTTGCTCTCCCAGTTACTATCCCACTCAGAAGAATACAGAGAGCTCCTGGGCTGAGAAATTATTTTCTAAACTACACATTCATCTCCACCACATCCAAGTCCCACTTGAACATTGCAAATACTTCAACTAAAAGAATATAGCAGCAATAAAAAAAAAAAGCAAAATAGCACCAAACACAATGTAGTAACATAAGAAACACATACACACATTGCAAACACTTCAACTAAAAGAATATAGCTGAAAAAAAAATAGCACCAAACACATGAATCCCAATGCAGTAACATAAGAAACACACACACATGCACACATGCACACATGCACACACACACACACACACACACACACACACATGCACACGCACACACAGGGTAAGATAACACCTCTAAAAAGTATTAACCCTACAGTGATGGCATCTGGTGTGAGTAAGATAAATGTTGGCAGAGTTTTGAGAAAATGAACACTTCTGTACTGTTTGTAGGAATAGTATTTGGCTCAACCATTTTGGAAAACAGTATGGTGTTTCTTCAAAGAATTCAAAACAGAACAAGCACATGATCCAGGAATCCTTCTGCTTGGTATCCATACCCAAGGGAAATGAAATCAATAGAAACATCTGCTATCCCCATGTCGGGTTACTCACAATAACTAAGATGTTCAGAAACAGAATGACCATATAAAGTGTGACAATTATATCTTCTGTAATTTGAAAATCAAATACATGATATAATCATGTACTACTTAATAACAGGGAAGTAGTGTAAGAAACGTATCATTAGCCAGTTTTGTCACTGTACAAACAATACAGACTATAAAGTACTTACACAGATGTAGATGGTTTAGCCTACTGCACACATACATATTTGGGATAGTCACCACTACTAACCTACCTGACATGCTAGTATACTTGTGGTGGTTTGAATGAAAATGGCCCCCGCAGTTTCATACATTTGCATGCTCAGTCCCCAGTTGATGATCTGTTTGGAAGGATTAGGAGGTGTGGCCTTGTTGGAGTAAGCCTTGGAGGAGGTGTGTCACTAGGGGTGGCTTTGAAGTTTCAAAATTCCATGCTAGGTCCAGTCAATCTCTCTCTCTCTGTCTCTCTCTGTCTCTTTCTCTGTCTCTTTCTCTGTCTCTCTGTCTCTCTCTGTCTCTGTCTCTCTCTCTCTCTCTCTCTCTCTCTCTCTCTCTCTCTCTCTCTCTTCCTTCCTCCCACCACTCTCTGTGACTGCTGCCTGTGGACTAGAATGTAAAGCTTTTAGCTACTTCTCCAGCACCAGGCCTGCTTGCTTGTTCCCATGTTCCCTGCCATGATGATTATGGATTAATCCTCTGAAACTGTAAGCAAGCCCCCAGTTAAATGCTTTCTTTTAGACAAGTTGCCTTGGTCATGTGTCTCTCCCCAGTGACAACAGTGACTAAGACAATACTGAACACCATAGCTGATTATAACACAGTGATAGTATTTGTGTATCTGAACCTATCCAAACAGGAAAAGTTCAATAAACATATTATAAGTGTAAACAATTGAAACTAACACACTAATACTGGAAACACAACATAAGAGGAATATGCAGGACAGAAAGTTGTGGTGAGTGAACCAACAGGAAGACCAAGAATATAACTGCACATGACTCTAGATTTTATAAACATACACATAAATGACATCACATTTATCTCAAAAGTTCCTTCTCTGATAAACTAACATTGCCTTACTATAACTTATTTTATTTATCAATATTTTAATTTTTGAAACTTTTTACTCTTTTGTAGTAATTCTTGGCTCAAAATGCAAATGTTATAAACAGCAGTCGTTTTTCAGCTCCTCATATTCCCATGGGGCCATGATCCTATGCGTGAGCCATCATTGACCAAAATACTGCTATGTGGCACCAGACTGAACAGGGAAAGCTTCTGTAGAAAAAGCAAAGCTGGTTCAGCATTGGAAAACCCACCAGAGTAATCCACCAAATGTTTAAAGATGACTGTGAAGACCGCACAGATATTTAATACAACTCAGTACGCATAACTGACTTAACGTTTTAGAAAATTAACCTCTTAAACTTGACAAAAAATATGTTCTAGAAACATCCATCACACCTTAGACTGAGACTAAAGCTTTGAAGAAAACAGACAATACAACATAAAAGCATAGAGTGTAAACCTACTGAGGGATATAGGTAAGTAAGCAATGTGCAACATGGTAAGAGCCTTCGACAAGAGAATTAGACAGTGCCACAGTAACGACGAGGAACAGGTAGCATACACCTGACGTTGTTGAGACAGTCACCTCAGCAGATAATCAACACTTTCTGTGCAAGAGCAAAATTACTTTCATGTTTACATAGCTTAATACTCAGTAGTTGAGACAATGTCTAGCACATGACAACTCTTCAACAAATGCTTCCTTTCTACACTTATTTATTCACTCATTCTTTCATTTACTTACTATGTATGTGTGAGAAAAAGGGTGGGCATGTATGTATCATGCCACAGTGTGGAAATCAGAGAAGAACCTGCAGGACTGGGTTCTCTTCTGTCATGTGGGTTTCTGGAGGTCACTTTCAGGTAAGGGCACTCAATACCCCTGAGCCATCTTGCTTGCTAGTAAATGTTTCTTCAGTGAGTGTGCAAATGAACACAACAAATAGACATTTAGTAGTGACCTGGGATGCTGATGTCAGGCAGGACATATCAATAAAGTATATGATTTAGTTGGAATCCAATATTTTCTAGAGTCTATCTGCATTCAGATATATTACTGCCTGCTTACACACACACACACACACACACACACACACACACACACACACACACAGAGAGAGAGAGAGAGAGAGAGAGAGAGAGACTCCCTCCCCACCAGCCATCCTAATTACTCACGGGTACAAGGGATTTGTATTGGCCAGTTGGAGAGTGTGTGTTTTCACAGGTTCCACAGCTATTAGCATGTCTTGTTCCACAGCCATGGGAAGAACAGAGTATCCACAGTAATCGATGTGCTCTCCTAGACAAAAGGGAAAGCAGGTTTTATCATCGCTAGTAGATGAAATAAAAGAAGCTCAACCTAGCTGTGTGAACAGCAGTTGCTGGAGAGAACCACGGCTTCATTGAACCCTCAAGGCTGATTGCCCAAGCAGAAACTCAGTGACTAGAATCTGGAGAGTTCTAAGTCAGGTGATCTCACGCATCTTTATTTCCCTTAGAAATCATTCGTTATGCACTGCTCCTTGTGACCTAGTATCCTTGTAGCTACTAGATAAATCCTTCGGGATACACGAGCAGACCACCTAACCTTCACCAACCCGAGGCCGAGCGTATCATCAGGTAGCATCTGACACCGGGAACTGAGAAATCTCTACCTTGCTGTAACCTGCCTGCCTGATGTTTCCACCAATGTCTCTGAAAAATGTCTTAATGTGTGGTTTCCTTTTCTGTTAATATAAAACCTCATGAGACTGTTCCATGTTAGAACATGAGGTGGAGTAAACTGTATCCGCGTTCCCAAGCCATGGTCACTCATAATTGGTCCCAGAATAAATTCTTATCCCCTTTCAGGTAAAAGCTGTGACTCTCGCATAGACAGTTAACATACAGGAAAAATATGACCTCGGTTTAATAAAAAGTAAAATACAATGGGCAGACAGATACTCAGTTTTCTTTTTACCAAGCATTTTGAGCCAACTTCAGCTAGCCATGAGTAATTCATTTTTGTTAATTTGGAGGCTCCTTTTTATCTTAAGCTTGGTTTTCTATTTTCTAATTTGTTTTGTTTTGTTTTTTTCTTTTTTAACATAATATTTTTATTGATTATTTGGAAATTTCACATAATGCACCCCGATCACACTCACTTCCAGTCCTCCCAGGTCTACCCCCGCCCCATCTCCATGACCTCTCCAAAACAAAAGAAGAAAAAAAAAAGAAAGAGAAAACAAAAAACATACCAAGTCCAATTTGTGTTGCTCATATACTCACTGGTACATGGTCAAACTCCCAGAGGCCAGTCCCTTAAAGAAACTGCCCAACCCCCCCAGAAGCAATCAACACTACACTACAGCATCTCTATCACAATTTTTTTAAAGAGTTCTCTTCAATGGCTTTCTGTCTAGACTATTTCTTTTTTGGGGGGAGGGGTGTAGAGGAAGAGAGGTTGTCACAGAAACCTTCTATGTCTCTCATTCTCAACTGTGAGTCTACAGTTATCAATACCACTCACCGCAAAAGAAGCTTCCTTGCCCTTTATAACCAGCAGCAGCACAGATCATGGACCTCCACATGGTTTCTGACTACAGCAAGGGCCATGACACCAACATGGCTTCAGGTGGCGCCACAGACCACAGACATCCCCATGGCCTTCAGTGATAACATGGCCACAGAAATCAACACAGACCCCAACTGCAGCCAGAGCACAGACATCAACATAGTCTCTGGCAGCAACGCAACCCACAGCTATCAACTTGGCTGCAGGTGGCACCACAGACCACAGACATCTCCATGGCCTTTGGTGGTAACATAGGCTATGGACATCAACATGGCTCCTGGCCACAGTAGGGTCACAGACACCAACAAGGCTCTAAGTGGCTGCACGAACCCTGGACATCAACATGGCCTCCAGTGGCAACATGGACCATGGACACTAACATGGCCCATGGTGGCAGCACAGACCACAGACATCCACACATCCCCCAGCCACACACAGCAGGGACCACAATCACCATCATGGCCCTCAACAGCAGCACAAGCCACGAATTTCAACATGGATTCAGGTGGCAGCATAGTCCATCAACGTCTCTTCAGTTGAAACATGGACCATGGACATCAACATGGGACCCAGCAGCAGCAGACTTCAGCAGCAGCAGCACAGACCACAAACATCAACATGGACTCCAGTGGTAACAGGAACCATGGACACTAACGTGGCCCGCGGTGGCAGCACAGGCCACAGACATGGACATGGACAGGGCCTCAGCCACTTTTTAATTTACAACAATCATTTTCCAAATTTATGTCATGTGACTATAAAGTATCAAGCTGATTAATATCTCAAATGTGGATAAGAAGCTGTTTATTTTCCGGTACAGACTTATGTAGCTCATTGTTCCTTTGGCAGATAATAATCAGTGAGGAAACATGAAATCAGCAGGTGACAATTCAGCTGCACAATTCTATTTTTATTCCATATATTGTTATAGCAGTGAAGGCCTTTGCTCCTGCATTGATATTCTTTATAGAAGGGGATAATAAGGGCCTTTTATGGATTAAAATGACAGGTGAAGAACTAATTTATCAAGTCATATTTCTATCCAGTTATCAAGAGGACAGCAATCTGAGTCAAGTAGAAATATGTATTTGAATACGTGGACAGGGCATCTATCTGTTCTTCTGCAAGGTTATAGCATGGGTGGCCGCCTACTGAGGGCGAAAATGGTTTCCTTTGACAAAATGTATTTAAAAGAAGAAAAACACCCACCCTGGGTGAGGGTCATGGAGGGAGCGGGAACCACTGGGGATGAAGATAAATCTATTATCAGCTCCTCAATATGTTAACGAAACTGACCCTCGTACTTTTAACAGAGACTGAGATTCATTTGGTCTCCAGCTGTGTCTCACGAATACTGGAGTCACACCCCACACACTGTACTGAATAAGGAAATAAGAATTCTTTGTTAGGAAAACCCCACCCCACACAAGGGGAGCTTGGCTGTGCTCTGAGGACCCTGCTTCTGTGGGTTCTCTAGCAGTGAGGAGCTGACGCCATCTGCCCGCCTTCCGGGCCACTTTCCTGTTCTCTGTTCTTCTGAGGCTCCAACACATTTTCTCCTCACCATTTTCCTCCGTGGACCTTTAAGACATTAAAGAGCTCAGAACCTGGGGCTGGACAGATGGCTCAGCAGTTAAGAGCACTGGCTGCTCTTCCTGAGGTCCTGAGTTCAAGTCCCAGCAACCACATGGTGGCTCACAACCATCTGTAATGAGATCTGGTGCCCTCTTCTGGCCTGTAGACAGAACACTGTATAGATAATAAATCTTTACCAAAAAAAAAAAAAAAAAAAAAAAAAAAAAGAGCTCAGAACCTGTCTGCAGCCCCCTTTCCATCCCAATCCCACAGTAATCCTGACGACATCCAGATAGATGACCTAGTGCAAAGCCCAAGCCCTCCTCCCCCTCGGCAGTCCTCCCCCATGACCCTCCATCCAATAATTGCCTAGCTCCCATCACCTCCAACTTTTATCAAGCTATTATAAACTTGAAGCTCCCCACCCTGCCTGTCTCTCTGGCCCACACCGCCTTCTCATCTCCATCTGTAGGCTCCTCTTCCCTTCCTTCCCTTCGCCACCCAGCACAGATTCCACCTTTTATTGCTTCACCAGCCCTCCTGCCCATACTGTCAAATTCTCTGTTCCATGTCATCCTCTGTGAACTCCCACTCAACAAAGCCCTAAACCTACCTCAAAACCACATACCTTACATTAGCTGAGGCAGGGAAATGCAAGATCTCTGAGTTGGTGCACAGTCCACAAGTTCACCTTACCCCAGATCTCAGTGCTTTCCAGCAAATAGGCTTTTTTCGGCCATTCAGTCTCCATTCCTTCCCATTTACATTGTTTCTTCCCCTGCCTTAAAATCCCAGCCCTCCTCACAAAAATGTCCTCAGTCCTCCACTCACAATTATACATAACTGACATCAAGGTGCATCCTTTTCCTCCTGACCTCCCATTAAAAGAGCTGAAGCTGCCGGTGCCCTATGCTCCAGACATCTGCCTTCCTGCCTCTGCAAGTGTTCCCCTCCACCAGGTACTCCCTTTTCAATTATGGGCAATCTCTCCCTCTCCATTGATCTTCTCTCTATTATAAACCATCCCCACTGGCCATTCTCAAATATTCCGTGAAATTTTTAAATCCTCTATTATTTGCTTCAAAATAAAAAGCATGGTCTGAGTTGCCAGTGGAAGGTGGCTGGCTAATAAGTGCTCTGTATTTTTCAGTTATTTGTTTTATAAGCTTGCGTTTCCCATTATAATAGTGTTTTTGAATCCTCCATGGACCCTGGACTTTTCTCAGCTCCCCATACATTTTCTCGTGACAAGTCTTATTCATCCTAGCAGTCATGACTTACAACATCCCTGCACACATCTCCAGTTCCTCCACGTACTGCATCCCCTTATCAAAAATTCAAGCTGCATCCATTTAGCTTAAGCATCTTTGTTCAAACAGAACTTTATGGAGGTTTGAAATGTGGAGAAAAGACAAACAGGAGGCATCTCTGGTTGAGCTTTTGCGTGACTGGCACTCCCCTTCAACAGCAGTCCCTGCACAGACTCCAACCCAGCCCTAAGATCCACTGACACAGCCTGAAGATGACACTGGGTGTCTAGGGGCTCTCACACCTGCCATTAGACTGTGGGTTCCCAGAGCAGCTACTGCACAGCAGATGAACAGTGCATCTTCTGACTGAAAGCAGAGTAAAGGACTTCCTTCTGATGAAATTGTACGCAACTATCTATGTCCCACTTGACATACGTTCTTGTTCTTCGTTTTGTTTTGGTTTTTCGAGACAGGGTTTCAACTGGCTCTCCTGGAACTCTCTCTGTAGACCAGGCTGGCCTGGAACTCACGGAGATCCACCTGCCTCTGCCTCCCAAGTGCTGAGATTAAAGGTGTGCTGCCACCACTTGACCTGTGTGTAGCAAGTTCTTGATATACTTTTCCTTGGCTTCCAAAGTACCACTTAAGATAGTTCATTTCAAGTATGGACTTGATTTAGGGATATCTAGATTGCTGGAAATTATTATTTCTGGGTGTACCTGTTAAGTTTGTTTTCTTTTCCTATGGAAAGGTATTAGCATGCATGCGTCCTATATTTCTACTTCTCTAATACATCTTTCCTGTTTTTTCACTTTTCCTCCTTCCTATCTATCTAGCCTTTCCTGCTCACACTGTAGGATGCCCTTTCTGCTCTTCTATTAAAAGGCTCTGCCTCAAAGCAGGGTAACTATCCAAAACAGAAACATCAGACATCTGAAAAGTGAAAAACTGGAAATAACTTTATGTGCAATTAAAGAAAACTGTGGAGTAAATTACAAAACACCATCTTAGTAGGTTATTACAAAGACATTAAAATAATAATTATAACCTCTTTAGAAATATAAGAAAATATTTATGATATATTAAACACAAAAGAATGAGTTGGTATACAATCTAAAATCATATCCGTCATTATACATTTATAAAGACAGACTGTACACAAAATTGCTAAAATCTGCTACTTAACACTAAAATATAGTAAATTACAAAACATCTCCCTGCAGAAACAAAAGCAAAATACAAATATACCCAATAAACCTGGAAAATCCAGACCACCAGAGGAGGGGGAAAAAAATCAAAAGTAGAAATTCAGAATACCTATTATGTTGACTCTTCCTGGGGCTCGAACATAAAACTTGGGTGTGGAGCCAAACTTGGAGTTAAACATCTCTTTCAGCTTCAACAATCTGAAAAACAAGAGTGGACTATCTCAAGATAGCATATATCAGAAAACCCTGGCAGGCTAGGAGTGACAGTGACAGGGTGTACACAATATGTGTGAAGGGAGGATCAACCTCTTAGCACTGCAGGCAACACACATACACACACACACACACACACACACACACACGCACGCACGCACGCACGCACGCACGCACACTGCAGAACATCAAAGACCAAATGGATGTAGCTAATAAAAAACCCTTCCTTCCATCATGAAGAATCTATATTTTTTTCAGTGATAATGAAGAACATCTTTGGGGGTGGGGGCGTTGAGACAGGGTTTCTCTGCATAGCCATGGCTGTCCTGGAACTGGCTCTTAGGCCAGGCTGGCCTTGAATTCACAGAGATCTGCCTGTTTATGCCTCAGGAGTGCTGGGATTAAAGGTGTGTGCCACCACGGCCCAGCTGGAAGAACATCTTTATAGTAAAGAAGCAGCTTGAAATCGGGGTCAGCAGGGCCACAGCCTGTGAAGCCTGAACAACTTCTACCCTCTGATGGTAGCTCTTGGGCCTAGTATTCTTGGCTTATAGGCACATCCCTCCAATCTCTGCCCCAGTTGCCACAGCCATTCTGCCTTCAGGGCTGTACCTCTTCAAATTTTCCTTCTCAGATCTGCGAAGAATCAAGTCCAAATAAAGTTCCATTCTGTGGACCAAAGTAAGCTTGAGTTCCAGGAGTTACCCCCTTCAACCCAGTACAGGCATTGATAATTATAGTGGGTATCAGGAGTCAGAGTTCTATTCTAGTGGAGTCTGTAATTCATTGTCAACGTTTAGCAAATAGTTTTCCTGTTCTCTAAAATTGGAGAACTAAACATTCCTCTTGGGTACCATTCAGATCCAAAATTCTTATAGCAGATTTAATCACTCACCATTGTCAAATCATCCCAAATCTTTCAGTAGTCCCCAGACCACACTGTTCAAGTAATAACACCAATTACAATAAACATTAACAAGGGGCCATCATGTTCAAAAGTTGAATGATTAATTGTTCTTAAGAGATTAATTTGTTGCAAAAAATGGAAATCCATCCACACAAACACACACACACACACACACACACACACACACACACACACGCACGCACGCACGCACGCGCGCACACACACACACACACACGCACACACACGCACGCACGCACGCACGCGCGCACACACACACACACACACACGCACGCACATGCACGCACGCTCCAAGAGTGAAAGGAAACATAACGACAGAGAGTAGAGTTGTGCAGACATCACCATTGGAAAAGACTCAGGCTGGTCTCCTGGAAATCTGAAAGCAGCCAGAAATTCTGTTTCCATAAATTCTTGTCTTTGGTGCTTGCTCTTCCTGACTCATTCTCTTATCTCTCCAAAGATGGCATCACCATTTCCCTCTTCTCACTCCTCTCTGCATCCCCTTCGCCTCTGCGAACCTCATTTCTGCGTCTACATCCCTATGTGTCCATGACCTGGTGACATTACAGTTACTGTCTCATACATTCATATCCTTTGGTCCAAATTCTCAAAGTCAATATGTTTGGAAGAGTTTAAATCCTGTATACATCCTGTTCCCACTGTTTGGTACAAATAAGGTCACTTATTTTGTTATGTGTGATCACTCAAGTCCATTCATTAAGTAGCTGCTCTGGATTACAACAGAGACCTCGGCAGGAATCATATACTCTCTGAAGCAGAGCAGGCACTGGGTTTGGGGGTTTGGCTCAGTATGTGAAAGGGCCTGGGGCTGCTCTCCAGAATGGAAAAAACAAAATCTAAAAATAAAAAAAGTAAACATTAACTGGACCATAAGATGCAGGTAGACGAGATGACTCTTTGAATCTGATTCTCTCTACACATCTTCTAGAACAAGAACATATAAAACTTCACAAAAAGTAGTTTTCTCCGTAACTAGAGAACACAGAATATCAAACTTTACCTAGAACTTCAGTAGAAAGGGGGAGAAAACAGTAAGGAGGGAGGGAGGGAGGAAAGGAAGAGGCAAAAGAGGATGGGATGGGGAGATGACGGTTAGTTTTTTGTCAACCTGACATAAGCTAGAGTCACCTGGGAAAGTGGAGTGGAGCAGGCACACTATACTAAGGTTTATCACTAAAATCACCCAATGAAACACTAAGTAGCTACTGTCTTCATTATCTCTAATGAAACCCATGACCAAGTGATTACATAATTAGTAATAATAACAAAAATAAATTTTTTAAAAGTACCCTGAATGAGTGGATAGAACTACTTCCAGAAGCCATAGGTTTATTGAGTGAAAATTCCATTGCCAGGAGCAGGCTATCTCCCTAGGAGTTGGTGGTCATGGAGGGCCCTGAGACTTCCAAACAACACAGGCTTCTATAACTGCTGTTTGTTGCCTACCAGAACTGCAGGGTAAGACCCTATTGCTGAAGACATCGTATGCCCTGGTGCAGGGCATAGAAAAAAAATCAAGACAGAAGTGGCCTGAAAACTTGCTCCTTGTTGATTAGCTTTCATGTGCCAGCACCGGTAGGTGCTGTGCAAGCAAGCTGCTGGGAAAGAATTGTGGTTAACAGTCTTACCCAGCTGTGGACCCTGTATACAATACTGACCAACCAGGGAAGATGTGCATACTAGTGCTGTAGTGGGAACAGGGTGGGAATAGGAAGGCTCAAGAAAGGGTAACAGAGGGGGAAGATGAATATGATCAAAAAACATTATGTAGATGTATGAAAATGTCAAAAAGAAAACCATTATTTATAATTGATGTATGATAATAAAAAACACTGTTTAATCCTTAACATGCTAGATAATAAGGTAATGTCTTTACCTTAATAAAAAGTATTCACCAGAAACATTAAACTTCATATTTGATGGCAAAATATCAGAAGTATTCTCATTAAAGCTTTTCCAAGGCTGGAAGGATGGCTCAGCAATTAAAAGCACTTCCAGAGGATCCAGGTTCAATTCCCAGCACCCACATGGCAGTCACAACCATCTGTAACTCCAGTTCAGGGGGTCCTCTTCTGACCTCCACAAGCACCAGGCATGTACATGGTGCACATGTAAACATGCAGGCCAAACATTCATACACGTAAAATATTTTTTAAAGCTTTTCCATTAGCCGGGTGGTGGTGGCATACACCTTTAATCCCAGCACTTGGGAGGCAGAGGCAGGTGGATCTTTGTGAGTATGAGGCAAGCCTGGTCTATACAGAGTGAGTTTCAGGACAGCCAGGACTGTTACACAGAGAAACCCTGTCTCAAAAAAAAAAAAGTTAGGATGGAATTTTAGGTTTCAAATCATAGTCTTCTAAATGTTCTCCATCTTCAGTATTACAAGGTCAGGGTCACCAAATCAGCTGAGATGAGAAAACAAGAAACCGGAAAATCTGCTCACAGGGTATCATCATAGCACAGCATTATTTGTAAGAGCCAAATGTCAAAGTCATCCCAATGTCTACTAAGTGGTAAGCAAAATACACTCTGTCTGTGTGATAGAACACATACTGATACATGCTACAGCATGGCTGAAAGAACACTGGGAGAAAAGAACCAGCTGAGTGTGGTAGCACACGCCTTTAATCCCAGCATTCAAGAGACAAAGGAGGATCTCAATGAGTTGGAGGCCAACCTGGTCTACACAGCAAGTTCCCAGACAGCCAGGACTGCACAGAAAGACCCTGTCTCAAAAAAAGAAAGAAAGGAAGGAAGGAAGGAAGGAAGGAAGGAAGGAAGAAAGGAAGGAAGGAAGGAAGGAAGGGAGGGAGGGAGGAAGGAAGGAAGGAAGAAAGGAAAAGAAAGGACAAAAAGAGGCACAGAAAGAGGTGAAAAACACGTCTTATGATAGCACTTATTTGGGATATCCAAAATGAACAAATCTGAAAGGAAAAAGGAAAGAAAAAATAGATGAGTAGTTGCTTAAGAAGGGAAAGGTGAAATATAAGGGATGATATGTATGTTTGTGTGAAGAAAATCTAAATTTAATTGTGGTGATGGATGCACAACACTGTGAATCCACTTCATTGCTAACTTTTTAAAGTGTGTGTGTGTGTGTGTGTGTGTGTGTGTGTGTGTGTGTGTGTGTGTGTGTGTGTGTTTTCAAGGGCACATGAATGCCATGGCACACGCCTGAAGGTCAGAAGGCACTTTTCAGGAGTCAGTTCTCTTCTTCCACACTGATGAGCTCTTGGTACTGATTTCAGGCGGTCACACTCACACGGAAACACTTTTATTCATTAAACCAGTTCATCGGTTTAAAATGAGTGGATTATATAGTATTCGAAATCAGTAAAGTTATTACAAGAAATAGTAACCTATCAGTTTTTATTCATTTGTTTTAGGGTTACTTTAGGCAAGGTCTCATGTGGCCCAGACTGTTCTCCCATTCACTAGCGAAGGATGACCTCGAATTTCCGATTCTCCTGTCTCTAACTCTGATATGCCACCATAGGAGTTCACATAGTTATGGGAGTCAAACCCAAAGTTTCATGAATGAGGCTAGAACTCCATAGCTGAGCTGCCTCCCCAGATTTTGTTTTTGCTTTGGGGGATGTGGTGGTTTGAATGAGAACGGCTCCCATAGGCTCCTGTTTGAATACTTGATCCCCAGTTGGTAGAACTGTTTAGGAAGGATTAGGAGGTGTGGCCTTTTTGGAGATGTGCCATTCCCAGTGAGCTCCCTCTGCCTAGTGCTTGTGGATCAAGGTATAAGCTCTCAGCCACTGTTCCAGTGCCTGCCTGCCTGCCTACCACCATGCTCTCCACTATGATGGCCATGGACTCACCCTCTGAAATGGTAAGCCCCAAAATAAGCTTTACTTCAATAATTTCACTGGACCATGGTGTCTCTTCACAGCAATACAAAAGTTACTAAAATCGGCCACAGGGTCTCATTTGGTCCAGGCTGGCTTTCAATTTGTGGTGACCCTCCCCTCCAACCTCTCCCTCCAGTTGCTGGGATTACAGGCATGCATCATCATGCCTTGCCAGCCTAACAATTTAAAACTTAATCCTAAAGAAAAGAGATATCTCTGCAAAGAAAGCTAGAAGTAAAACTTGAAGTTTGACAGTACAGACAAAAAGCATGAGTCAAATGAAGGTAGAATGTACTGAGCTCTCTTATTTCTCCCTGAGTTTTTTAATGATGAAAATCAAATGCAGGGACTTGGGCATGCTAGGGAAGTGTGCTACCACCAAGCTACAACTCCAGACTTCTCAAATTTGCTTTTTATACCAAGAGAATAAAAAGCTAGGTGATGGTGGTGCACACCTTTAATCCTTTAATCCCAGCACTTGGGAGGCAGAGGCAGGTAGATCTCAGTGAGTTCAAGGCCACCCTGGTCTACAGAGAGAGTTCCAGGACAGCCAGAGCTACACAGAGAGAAATCCTGTCTTGAAAACCCGAGAGAGAGAGAGAGAGAGAGAGAGAGAGAGAGAGAGAGAGAGAGAGAGAGAGAGAAGACATTATCTTATTAAAACATATAATGTAGTTGCCTAATGTCTTTACTCAGACGATCTGGTTTCCTGTGAAATTGATGGTATCTTGAACAAAGATCAGGAGTTGCACAAGAATCCAGGTTCACCTGAAGGTACCAATGAATTGCACCATGTGACCACTCAGATTTGCAGATTACACTATCTAGATTTAATAAATGGTACCCTTTCTAAAATTGGATGCTTCAAAAATATTCCTGCAAAACATTGCATAAAGCCCATAACAGTGTACATAAGTACAAAATGAAACAATAGTTGGGCATAATGATGTACTTGAGGTACAGGAGGCAGATCAAGAGTTCATTGTCATCCTCAGCCACACAGAGACACTATCTCAAAACAAATGACAATTAATTGGGAAACAAGAAACAGCAAAGCAGAGCTTACATGACCACTATGACCTCACTTGTGACTAATGCTGTTGTGGGATATTTGTACACTGTGAAGATAAATTTGCTGTGATTCATGTAATAAAAACCTGAACAGCCAATAGCTACACAGAAGGTATTGGCATGACTTCCAGGCAGAGAGAGAGGAAATAGGAGATGAATCTAGGTGTGAGAGAGACTCGAAAAGACACAGAGAGGAAAAAGGAGGTGCAAGATGGAAGAGAAGTAATGCCACGTGATAGAGCATAGATTAATATAAATGGGTTAATTTAAGTTATAAGAGCTAGTTGGGAACAAGCCCAAACTATAGGCCAAGCTTTCATAAGTAACAAGAAGTCTCTGTGTCATTATTTGGGAGCTGGCTGGTGGGACAGGAAAATGACTCGATATATAACACAGATTAAGTAACATTAAATATTTGTTGCATAAATAAATACTGTAAAAAAATAGTGAAAAGCATGAAAAAACACTAAAGGAATTGAGTCAGCGATTCTTTTAGCAATGGACCTGTGCTTCCTAGCAACATCCTCACTGGAGGGCAGTGACCTTTATTATTAAAATCATTTAAAATTGGCTGGGCATGGTGGCACACATGTTTAATACTAGGCAGAGGCAGGCACATCTTTCTAAGTTAGAAGCCAGACTGGTGTACATATCGAGTTCAAGGCCAGCCAGAACTACATAGGGAAACCCTGACTCAAAAAAAAAAAAATCATATTTGAAGTTTTATTTGTAGACATGTTTTGTACAATACTACACACAGAGGGGTGGGTTTCTTTTCATGAATTCTTCAGGAGTCATCTGAAGCACACCTCTCACAGTGTGCTCATTTACTGAATGTGTAAAACAACCACACCATAAAATGACCTCAGAGAATCTTAAAACCATTCAGTGGCTGTTACATAGTTTGGGAGTCTCTAGAGTACAGTATGTTTTATCCTGGTTAACTAAAGATACGTTGTTGCTGGCTTGTCCAGGAATGAGCATTTTCAAGCCATAGAAAAGCACTATCTTATCAACCAAAACAGAATGGGGAGGAGGGGGGAGTTAAATTCCAAGGCAGTCGACCTCAGAGAAGCCCTTGGGCTAACAGAACAGCAAGAGAGAGAAGTCTGTGAAATTTCAGCCACAGAAACCAGAACAAAGTATTCTACAGAGGATCTGTAATTAAAAAGATCCTCTACTAGACATTGAAAAGAATTGTAATCCTGTAGCTAGGAACTGGCAACAAATTAGTTCCTTGATGAGAGTTCGGAGATTCTCGGATTTGTCAAAGATGCAGGGACTCAAAAATGACTGTTGAGGACGGAAACTTGGAAAAGCAGTGTCATGTGACTGGCTAAGATAATGAGCAGTTCGAGGTAGGTTCGGGCATTTTTACTCAATCCTTCGGCAAGAAAGGGCAAAAGCCTCCGTGTGAAGCAACTCACACAAACCCTGGCAGCGTCTAGAATCCTAAGGGTTCTGTCTGCCTCCACGGACAAAAACAAAAACAAAAACAAAACAACGGTGACTCAAAAGAAGCTGCCAAAAGCAAAGAGCGCCGTGCGCACCTCTCCAGCCCGGGGACCCCAGGCCACGCCTCTGCCCCACCTGGGATGTTCTGCCACCTGGACTCGTCGCGTGGTGGGTTCCTCCGCAGCCATATTTTGCTAGATCCCTCTGCAGTTTCCAGAAGTGCAGCACAGCTGAGGATCACAAGATAAAGGCAGCAGGAGTGGCTTTCTTCCGGGACCTCAGCGGAAATCCTGCAGGTCTGCACAAGTGGCCCCTTCCAGACCGTCCCGCCCCCAGCTCCTCCTCCCCAGCTCCAGACACAGTATCAAGTGCAGCCACTACCTCGCCTTTGGCTCACAGGGGCGACGCAGCAGCGAGTGACCGGATTTTTCTGTGCCCTGATGTGGCTGAGTACAGTGTCAGAACCTGGAGACCCGCACACACCTTGGTCTTCTGATCTCTCTCAGGCTTTTTTTATTTTTTTAAGTTAGGATTTTTCTTTCTTAATGTCCAGCAAATACATCCCAAAGACCATGACATGTTCACCTATTGCTTATTTAAATTTATTTCCAAAGTAGGCAACATAAAATTAGATGTAAATATCTTTGCATTTACCTCCAGAATGCAAGCACAGGTAGGCCTTCATAGAACACTCCTAATAGGAAAAGGAACCCTTAGTATCGGTTAGGTCTCAAAGAAACCTGGAACAAGTCTCACTCAGTACCCATGGCTCCTCCCAGAACTTTTCAACCCGCCCACACCCTAAACTCTCCAGTCCAGGGGCTGGGATTCCTTCCCTAGCCTCTGATCCCTATATAACCTCAGCCATTTTGGCTACGTGCCCTCATGGTCACTGGGCACCCAGATGCTCTCTTTGCTCCTTCTCTTCCTCTCTCGCTTCCCGCCACCTACCCCCGTGGCCATGTTCAGTCCAGATGCCTCTGGCTGTTTTCTCCCTCATATCTACAACGAACCTTCTCAACCCATACCTAGGAGCAGTCACGTCCTCATGTTTTCATTCAGTATCCAGCTCACCCCTCATCTTTCTGTTGCCTAGGGAAATCCCAGAGACCCTATTCCAAGAATACCAACTCCACATTTACCCCATTACTGCTCTGAACTGTAAAAAGCTGCCCTGCATATTTATTCTCATGAGTTTATTGTCTGTCTAATTGCCGCCTCAGCATCTCTACCAACTGCATGTGAGCAACTTGAGGGCAGGAGCCACGTCCTCAGCACCTGGCACTGTGCCTGGCAGACTGGTTTTCAATACAACAGGATGAATGGCTGAGAGGTGAAGCTACACATCTAAGGTCACATTGCTCATGGGTACTGCATTACTTTTCTGTTGCTGTGATAAAAATGCCCTGACCAAAAAACAGTACCGGGAAGGAAAGGTTTATTTGGCTTATAATTGCACAGGAAGGTCAAGGCTGCAACGGAAAGCATTATGTCAGCAGTCACATGCAGAGAGAATAAATGCATGAGTCCTTGGATTGTTGGCTTTCAGGTAGCTCTTCCCTGTCTAAAATGTATGCAAAAAGTCTCTTGACTCTTTCTAATGAGAGGGACATAAGGTTTAGAACAATGTACTAATGAAGACTCTGCATGTCAGTTCCCCTTATCTGGGATAGGAGAGAGGAGATTTTACATTACCTTCACAAGGGAAATTTATACATTGTAATTTTTAATTAAACTTATTTAGTGTGTGCATGCATGGGCACAGAGGTCATAGAACAACTTATGGATGTCAGCTCTTTCCTTGCACCTGTGAGTCCCAGCAATTGAACTCGGGTCATCAAGCTTGGCAGCAGGCATCTGTCCCAGTAAGATACCTTACCAGCTGGCTCTTATACACTTCTCTTAAACTAATCAGCAATCGGTGTCCTAAAGTGTAGCAGAGCTTTCTTCGATACAGCACAAAAAAGTAAAAAGAATCCTCAGCATGCAAGAGTAATAAGATAAACAACCTTGTAAAAAAAAATTCAAGAGGTTTTTCACCAAAGAAATGCATGGAGTCCTTCCAAGTTAGGCCTGGAAGGATGTCTCCTACAAAGAAGGGTGGTGACAAGAGGGGACATGCCATCAACGAGGAGGTGACCTGAGAATACATCGACAAATACATCCATAGAGTGGGTTTCAAGAAAGAAACCCAGGAATTTCCCATGAAGGAGAAGGGAACTCCAAACATGTGCATTGATACCAGTCTCAATAAAGCTATTAGGGCCAGAGGAATAAGAAATGTTCCATATCATATCCATTTGTCCAGAAAGTGTAATGAGGATGAGTAACTTTGGTAACTTACATCATTGTTGTCACATTCAAAACTTTATAGATAGTCAATGTACTTGAAAAATTAACTGCTAAATGTCAAATACAGTTACAGAACTGAGACACACACACACAGCATCTGCCTTAAGGAAGTGCAAACCAAAGCCAATAAAATGCTCAATGCTCTTAACGGAGCAGCTAAAATTGAAATAGGCTAGCTCATACTAAATGGTGGCAAGATAGACAACTAGGACTCTCATCCATTGCCACTAGGTAAGCTAAATGCTAAAACTATCCAGGAAAACAGTTTGAGAATTTCTTACAAAGTTGAATGTACACCTCTGGTATGACCCAACCATCATATGTACATTTATTTGTGCCCACTGCTTCACGACTTCATTACCACAAACTTGGTAATATGTAACAATACATACTTATTATTGTCTCACACTTTCTGTCACTCAAAAGTCAGGGTATGCCTTAGATGGCTCTTCTATTTTAAAGAGGCTCAACACCTGTGCTTCTTGAAGACACCACAGGACACAATGTCTGCTGCCAGGACAGACTTGATCTAGTTTAATGTAATAATGTCCATATAATTGTCTATCAACTTCTCTCCATCATTTTGATTAGGAGCAAGTCATAGGACACACCCAAAGGGCAAAGAATTATTAAATAGCATGGATGACAGGCCATCTTGGAATCAGTCTATCACATTACTCAGGAGAAATGAAATATGCTCACACAACAACCTGCACACAAATGTTCATAGCTGTTTTATTATACTAACCATGAGTTGAAAAACCTCACATATCCATTAACAGGAAGATAATTATGGGATATCCAAAAACAGAACACACAGCAATAAATCCAAACAACCAACTGATGCAGCAACAACATGGAAAAAAAAGTCAGATAAATAAGAATGCATCGTGTTTATTTCGATTTACATATAAAGTTGATGAAACTGTAAACTCATCTACAATATCAAATAATAGATCACTGGTGGCCTAAGAAAAACATAAGAGGAGGAAGATAATAAGTCATCTGAAAAGAATTTCAGAAAGAAATCTATAAAGAAACATCTTTAGTTTAATAAGCTCATTTTAAGTTATTATGATAATCATTTCACAGGTATAAATATTTGGCAAAATTTATCAAATTGTTTGATAAGTTAAGTTTATGCAGCTTAACTTACCATAACACAGTTAATTATACCTAAATAAATGCTGTTTTAAAAATATTTGGGGGCCAGTGAGATGGTCAGTGGATAAAGGATCTTGCCTCAAAAGCCTGACCACCAGAGTTCAGTCCTGGAAACATGGAAGGGTGGGAGCAGACAACAGACAGCAAGGTTACCCTTTGACCCCACACAAATGCCCCATACAAACATAGCAAACACATTCATATGCATATACATCATACATAGGCACACAATTAAAAAGTAAGGGGCTACAGAAAAGTCTCCGTGGTTAAGAGCACATGCTGCTCTTGGAGAGGACCTGAGTTTGGGTCCCAGTGTCCACATCAAGAGGCACCTGTAACTTCACCTCTGACATCTGCAGGCACCTGCACACACTCATGTGCAGACATACACATAATTTAAAATAATAAAAAATTAAATCCTTAATAAAATAAAATAAAAATATTTTAAATACTTTTACAATATAACATCTACTTTAAACATGAGCAACCTGTTAAAAAAATTATCAAGTATTTACTACTGAACAAAATTGATCTCTAATAATTGCTCTTATCAAGTTGTCAGGCTGGGTTTAATAAACTTGGATGTCACCAAAGAAATACAAGGCTCAAATTTTAGTTGCCATTTTCTTTGTGTTTCTAGGTACCAGATTACTCAAGTCTTTTCTCATTATATGAGTAAGGCATTATGATAAAAAAAATGGCAAATTATGCAGATAAATGCACTGTAAATCAGCATGCCATACTGGAATGGTAAATAATCACAGCCCTATCATTTTGTATTTAAAAATTATGCATGAATAAAACTCTTAACTACCTTGTGACTTGGAAAAAGTATAGCATGGGTAGAGTAACTGTGATTTATTGTGCTACATTCTGAGAGTAGTGAGTGCTATTAATTACTATGCTAATCAGAAGTACCTAAGCCTGACCTGTCCCAATAAACTGGGATGTACAGTCAGTCATCACACTTCTTGGAAAGCTTTGCTTTGTTTTAAAATTACATGTACAGATTCGTGCAGTATTTTTGGAATAGTTTTGTTTCTAAGATGGTATCATTAAAGGTCATTCCAAAACTAAACCTTTATACTCAGTAGAGGAATTTTGAACAAAGACTGAAAATTAAATGCTTTCAGAGGATTATCAGTCTACTTTGTAATGATTATGCTATGTTTGAATAAGAGAATGTTCTCAATTTTAGGAAATGCACATAGCTGTACAAAAGAGTAATGTGTTGTTTTATATGCATCTTTCAGTTGACCCAGGAAATACACAACATTAAGGCCAATAGTTGGTATATTTTTGTCCACAATCCTATCTTTTCAAATGTATTTTAAATTTGAAATTTCTCATGATAAAATATTGAGAGGAAAAGGATATTAGTAAAACTATGTGGTTACAGGTAAGGTGATATTATTGTTTAAAAAAAAAAAGCCGGGCGGTGGTGGCGCACGCCTTTAATCCCAGCACTCGGGAGGCAGAGCCAGGCGGATCTCTGTGAGTTCGAGGCCAGCCTGGAATACCAAGTGAGTTCCAGGAAAGGCACAAAGCTACACAGAGAAACCCTGTCTCGAAAAACAAAACAAAACAAAACAAAAAAACAAAACAAAAAAAAACAAAGATGTTACTTTGAATGATTACTTTTTTAAACTATCTGAAATTCCTTCTTGTAATATTTTCCTAAGAAACAAATAAGTGTCAGGCAAGAGGGGTAGCTCACCAAGAGAGCATTTACCTAACACTCACAAGGCCGAGTTTTCTCCTCAGTTCAAAAAATACGGGGGGGGGGGGGG